TAGTAGCCCATGTGTTCTTCCAGACTGTGTTCTACATCTGTGCCAAATTTCAGCGAGATCCGTTGAGCCGTTTCGGAGATACCTTCAAACAAACATCCATCCATCTAAACATTCGCATTTATCTTGTATATAAAATTCTCGTGTCACAATTTTCGTTCCCATACTCCTCCGAAACGGCTTGACTGATTTTCATGAAATTTTGTGAGCATATTGAGTAGGTCTGAGAATCGGCCAACATCTATTATTAATCCCGCGCGGACGGAGTCGCGGGCGACAGCTAGTAATATTATAGAATGATTGAGTACAAAATGTAGCACTTATTTTCCATGCCCCACCTCTTGATGTATGAGTCATTAGCGTTAATTAATTACTTCAGTGTAAAGTGCGTGAAATGAACGCCGCGTGTTTATCGTGTAACAATGTAACGGCCATACTATAAGGATACGTGTCCATTGGACGGTACGCACGGCCCGCAACGGATTTTAGTTTGCGCGCCGCTCGCATCGAAAGATAGCAATTATCTATAAGCAATCCGTTCCAGGCCGTGGTGCGTTTGCGAGGGCCATTGGACGCGTACCTTAAAATAGTACCGTAGAACACCACTGCGTCATACGCTTGAAATACAATATTGCCATCCCTTTCATTATCTTTGGTAAAACAGAGATAACAATATTCGAATTTAAAACAGATTAGAAATTATAAGACAATCTAAAGAATTATAGCCAGCCAGAATTTTGTCAGCCAGCGACATGTGTAAAAAAAACTTTTTTTTTATTGAATTCGACTAATTGGTTTAGCTGTAGTGCTTCTAATTAAAACGGAACGAACCTTAATGCAAACTGTAATCCACAATCCACAGACAAAATACTTACGAAAACATCCGTTTCTTTCAAAGAGTGAGAGGGAGGATATTGTGTTTTTTTTATTCTGATTTTACATACGACCCAGTATTATTGCGACACATTGACGTAATGATCAAAATTAGTTGTTTTGTTAAACCTTATAATGTTTAATTTTAATTATTGAGTGTGTCCGATAAGTTGTAAAACTTATTTCTGATTAATATTATAAATTTAGATGAATGGATGGATGTTTGTTTGTAGGTATCTCCAAGAACGGTTCATCGCGATGACATTTGGTATAAATATAGAACATAGTCTGGAAGAACATAGGCTACTTATGTTTTTTTTAATTCTCGTGTTATCGGAGTCGCGGGCTACAGCAAGTGTATTATATTTTTAATACGAATATTCCAAGAAAACAATGTCAAAAGTTTAATAAAAACATGAACGATTAAAATCCCCCTATCTATTATAGTTGTGATAGTGTTGAATTTTATGTTAATTACATTATTTAGTACATTTTAAAAGCATCAATTGTTTATATATTCTGTGGTAATATATTTAGGTCAATCGTTGTACGGGTCGTGGTCTTATTCAACACGGGTCAAACGCTATCATTTCAACACTGGTGTGTTTTGCAAATATGCTATACGTAAAAAAATATTTAATTTAACTTATCTTATTAAAATTGTAATTAATTTAATAATGTGTCTTGTAATTCAAGTAAATCTATAATTCATTTGGAGTTTTGTATTTTAATCGGTAAATCATACCATGTTTTCGTAAGAAACTAGCTGTCGCCTGCGACTCCGTCCGCGTAAAATAAAAAAAACTTAATAGGCCTATTCTTCCAGGCAATGTTCTACATCTGTGCCTAATTCAGCCGTTGCGGAGATACCTTGCAACAAACATCCATCCATCCAAACTTTCGCTAAGATAAATTTTAAGGTTCTAATTGTAAAAATAACGATACTTGTATACAACTTTTCATCTCCCCTTTCAACCTTTTACAATCCTTTTGCATTAAAAAATAGCTTATATCCTTTCTCAGGCTCTAAACTATCTGCCTGATATTGTCGTTTCGTTATTACTAATACATATCGTAGCAAGTGTGAAAGGGACAGTTGCGGAACAGAGTCAGAACTCGCGTAGTCAAATTGCGACTAACATAAGAAGGCAATGTATTGATTACTGCCTTCTTTTGCAGGCTCTACTTTTTAAGTGCATTTGCACGGAAAAGTAGAGTCAGCAAAAGCCACTGTATTTACCTAAGAATAAATCAATGAAGTGCGCTGTAAAAAATAATTTCTAGATTGGTTTTATCAATATTCTACTATCTTATCTTTGAAATGTATACACAGTACGGTGAAATGTTGCACACGAGTTATATTCTATTGTCAGTGGGTTTCTGAGACCGAAATCTCCGTTTAAAATATATTGTTTTGTCAAATGACAGGGAAGATCTTCTTCGTATACTTCATTACTGAAGGTCGTGCTTGTCTTGATATGCTTTTACGGCTGTATCAACCAGCTGCCTCCACGCCTACCTGGCTTGTCTCATGCAGTCGTGATATTGAGTCCCAATATATCCTGCACTTGATCGGACCAGCGGGTAGGTGATCGACCTCGTGAATGTAATGGACGATATGTTTATATAAAGATTTTGGTATCAGAAACCATGCTTTAACCATTGTTATAAAGTTTTTTTGCTCGAAGCATAGCAACTGATGTTAGATTAAGGATATTTTTTTTATTATCGTTTAAATATTCCCAGTGTTTTATCTGTGATATACATTCTTGATAATGTTTGTGAATATTATCTTATCTATGTTTCTTTGTTTTCATTTAAATTAGGAAAGTGACGTTTGAATTTGAATTTCGAATGTTTGTCTAAATTGGAATGATGTTGCTGGCAGCAAACTGGTTTAATAGTGTGTTCATACTTAAAAAGTAAAATAAACATGTTATATAACTCTCTCTTTCCCTCTTTCTCTGGAATATAGAGACAAGGAGAAGATGAATGTTAATGCATTTATTATATCTTAGTGTTATAAATTCATCTCTATTCAAAGTTATATTTAGTCGTGTATTAGAAGCATATTTTGTTTAACAATTTAAAAGCAAACTTAATTAGTAGCCTATGTGCTCTTCCAGACTATGTTCTATATCCATGCCAAATGTCACCAAGATCCATGCAGCCATGGATATTGCTACAAACAAACATCCATCTAAACATTCGCATCTATATATAAAAATTTATAACTCAAGAACCGGCTTTACCGATATTCCCGAAAATTGGTGAGGAGGTAGCTTAAAGCCAGGAGACGGACATAGGATACTATTTATTCTTTTTTGTCGAATTTATTGAATTCGAGCCTTGAAGAACTGTTTTTTATTTAACTTACTAATATTGTAAATGTGAATGTTTAGGTGGATGTGATATGGATGGATGGATGGGTGGGCTACACTAATTAAGTTTTTTTATATATCCACGCGGACGGAGTAGCGGGTGACAGTTAGTTTATAATATAAGTAAGATTACCAGTTTCTTTGCTTATTATTTAATCAATCTTAGACTATGAGTACCATCATTTTAAAAATTCAAGGTCATCAAGTTTAATAGCAAATATAAATAAAAAAATAGTACTTAATCAAATTGTATTTAAGACCTTATTACGTTAGCAGAAGTGTGATATTACAATGTATTATGTGTTATTGACTTTGTCCAATGTATTACTTGTTGTACAGATTGCAAAACATATAGACGGATATTTTGCATTGGAATTTAGATCTTATGTAAAGGGTTGAAGTAATAAATTCCTTTGTTAATTAACGTTTTTTTTGTGATGTCTTTCTACTTTGTTATATAATATGAATTATTTGTACTTTAATGTACTTGGGTAAATTAAATTCGTGTTCTCTATAATGTTTTCGTGATGATAATATAAAAACAAGACTTTATATACGTTGATTACGGACAATTTTGTTTTGTTAACAAATATACTAAAGTTAATAAATGGATAATATGTTTCTATACACTAAAAGTTATTAAAATATTTAGAAGATACGAACTGTAGCTCGCGATTCCGTTTACGCGAGATTAAAACACAATTTATAGCATATGTTTTTCCAGGTTATGTTCTACATCTATGCCAAATTTCAGTAAGATCTATGCAGTCGTTCTGTAGATACTTTCAAACAAACATCCATCTATACATTCGCATTTATAATATTAGTAAGATTTGTTTTGCTAATGGTTAAAAATAATTTGTACATCTGTGTATTAAATATATTAAGTAGGTATGTTTTTTTTAAATATAGTAAAACTACATTTGCTGCCATTACTTAATTCTCGTGCCATAATTTTCGTTTCCATACTCCTCCGAAACGGCTTGACCGATTCTCATGAAATTTTGTAAGCTAAGTACGTAATAAGTACTATCTATTTTATAGTCCCGCGCGGACGTAGTCGCGGGCGACAGCTAGTTATAATATAAATGTTTATGTATGATTCGATGTATCAATATTCAAGTCACATAGGGGCGTTTAATTTATCACACAGACAGAATAATAAATTTAATGTATTAACACAAATTTAAATATAATGGATATTATTATTCGGTGTACAATACAATAGGTTTAAGCAATTGCGTATGTTGCGAATTTACAGAGTGTTCTAAACTATATTTTTGGCCTGGGTGCGAAAAGGTTTAGCGCCTGCTAAAATAAATCCGCAATGAGTTTTTAGACATTATTATTGCAATTTTTTTATATTGTACTCTGTTTAATAATAATAAATATAATAAAGAACGTATATTAGTTGATGTCCCCAATACCAGACGCACCACTAAGCCGGCCTAGGACGCATTTTCTGTTGAAGAGATGTCAGTGTTACGAATTATTGGTTTTATTATGTAAAGTTTGAGTTTTAAATATTACTTCTTACTAAATATTATAAATTCGAATATTTAGATGTATGGATAATTGTTTGAATGTATCTCCAGAACGGCTCAACGGTATAAAATTTGGCACACATAGAACATAGTCTGGAAAAACACGTAGGCTACTAATGCAGTTTTAATTCTTCGGGGATGGAGTCGCGTGCGATAGCTAGTCTATATGAAGGCATAGCTGATATACGTTTCTCTTTGTTCGCAGGTCGTTGCGTAGGCGCATAAAATGCGCTCTATCTTAGCGTACTACGCGGACGTGATGTCGGCGGCGGCGCGCGGTGCTGGCTGCGCGCTTGGCTGCAGCGGTCGCGGTGATTGTATGAACGGTACTTGTCTCTGCGAGATACGGTACGCGGGTGACGAGTGCGCCGGACCCAACCTGCCGTACCATGCATGTGAGTACTGATAATCGGATTAAGGGGGTGGGGGTAGATAAGGGGGAAATGATTTAGTCAGCTTCAAACTTTTCGCACCATTTTGAATACAGGGACCTAACTAAAAAAATAAAATAAAATCTTACTTCTTACTAATATTATAAATGAGAATGGATGGATGGGTGTTTGTAAGAAGGTATCTCCAAAATGGTTGTATAGATCTCGCTGAAATTTTGCATAAATGCATCAGTCTTTGAGAACACATAGGCTACAAATTAAGTTGTTTTTTTTAATTCTGCGCGGTATAATACGAAGTCGCGGGCAAAAGCTGGTGATGAAGGAAGCTTACTACTTTATGTATATTTCTAGGTATTGGCGGTGTGTTCCTATTGGTGGCATTCGTGTGCGCGGTGCAGCTGACGATATGTGTGGTGACGGAGTACCGTCGCCTGAAGGCGCCTACATTCCTCCGCGCCTGTAAAGTCACAACTCAAAAGATGCTCTACCTCGTCGCATTTCTAGCGTCCCTTATACGCGGCGCTTACTTTGTTTCACCGGTAAGTATGTGTAGAATAAAGTAAAGAATCGATATGTATATAAAATCAATTGCTGTTCGTTAGTCTCGCTAAAACTCGAGAACTGCTGAACGGATTTATCCTATCTTGGTCTTGAAGTGTTCTTAGAGGTCTAGGGAAGGTTTAAAAGGTGAGAAAAAATTCGAACAATTGCCGGGAACTAATTAAGTTTTTTTTCTCATTTTACGCGGAGGGAGTCGCGGGCGATAGCTAGTATTTTATATACCACAAAGACGTGACTTTTTGTAGCCTAAATGACTGAACTTTTTTTATGACACAGGTTTTATTCGATTCGTATTCTTCCCCTAAGTGTTTTAGGGTACAGTCTATCGAGCTTGTTGGCTCTTTAAATATATTAAAATATATAATTAAACTAGCGGACCCGACAGACGTTGTCCTGTCTACACGTCTTTAATTTGAATTAATGATGGTAGCGCCGTCTGTCGGATCCAATGTAAAACATTCCAAAATCAACAACTACAAATAAATTAAAAATTAATTAAAAAACATTGTCCCGCGGACAAAATTGTGAATCTAAACCATTCCCAGATCCCCTTGAACACACACAAAAAATTTCATCAAAATCGGTCCAGTCGTTTGAGAGAAGTTCAGTGACATACACGCTCACAGAAGAATTATATATATAAAGATAGTAAGGAATTACTCTAGAAGGTTATAAATTGCAAATCAGTTGCTTGGAATTGCCAATTTTTTCTCACTGGTAACCCTAAAATTTGTAAGCACTTGTCAATGTTAAATAACTGTTATGATTTTCGTTTGCTTTGCAGTCAGCGTTCCAAGAGGGATGGGCGACGAGTCTTCTATCAGCTTACTATCCTCTCCTAATGTCTGGATCCTCGCTCATTGTGTGCTTCTGGGCTGAGGTAAGTTTTTATAATAATTATATTACGCGCCGTATAAAATGCTCCCAGAGATTGGTAAAGCAATTTATATTTAAGTAAAGCGCCATCTAGTGATTGTTTAGTGAACTATTATGTTACTTGAAGCAAATTATTATTAGTGTAAAATGGTTGATACAGATGGCGTTAGGTGTCTGTTTTTTATTTACAAAATCAATATGAAAATGCCTTTTGAATTTAAAATGTCCTTTTTAATTTGTACAATATTAGGTACTGGATCTTTAAAACATTTTGTTATTTCTTATGTTTATGGGAAATTTAACATCAGGGGCCAGCTTTTATAATTATAAAAATAGGTATATGTTGTGTATGACCTCAGAGTTGCGTGGCCAGTGTCAGACCTTAAAGTGTTTGCTGTTTTTTTTTTAAAGCTATAGTAGCAAATAATAGGCACATTATCATGGAATATGTTGTACCAACTTAACAAACCTAATTGCTTGCATATAGCCGCAAACGGAAAAAACATACGTCAATATAAATTATAACCAACGTAAATCAAACCAACGGTAAATGATAACAATATTGAAATTAATTTCTTTAAATCTGTGTTACTGTATGGATAATAAATAAGGATATGAAACCTTTACCGAGAAATACCAATGTTCTTTTTTTACACGCAGACGGATAAAATAAAACGAAATGCATATTTTAAGCCAAGTATAACTGTATGTAATACAGGGTCTGTATTGAACATAACTAGGGTTGCCACTTCTTCGATTTTATCGTATGTGAACCTACCGTGGCTTTCTGATATCAAAATGTTTAAAACATATTGTTATCTCTACTTTGTCAAAGATGAAAGGGATGACGATATGTTTTATACAGAATTTTTGGTATCAGTAACCACTGTTAGATGTCTTCGGGTTAGATTGGCTGTTAAAAAAAGTAAAGAAGTCTCTGAATGCTGAATGGAACGCACAGGAAGAAAATGTTTCCTCTTCCTATGCGTCACATCCTGTCAAATCCACCTAACCATCCCATCCTTTCCTTATAAGAAAAGGGTGGGAAGGGTAAGGGTACTAAAATCAGGCCTCCGGCACCACACTCATCAGACGAAACGCGAAATGGCTTCCACTTTACGTGTCACATTTGGGTAGTCTCCAAACCCCGTTAGTGGGGAAGTATAGTGAGCTGGTGACGCGAGTCTTCCGTGTGGTCGTTGTACTGCTACGGGCAAGCGGCCCATTCGCGCAACCGATGTTATAACTGGCGTCTACCACTGTCAAAACATTCTGATCGACTATTGTTGGCAGCCCTATTCATACCGGTTTTGCTTAGGGTCGGTGCACCGTTCGCCGTGGCTTAGACTGAATGACCGATATAATATTGCATTATAAGACAGCAGAATCTGACTGAGTCAGAATAGAAATAGTTTCTGAACGTCTATAATTATTATATTAAAATTAATTAGCCTATATATTCTTCCAGACAATGTTCTACATCTATGTCAAATTTCAGCGAGATCCATGCAGCCGTTCTGGAGATACTTTCAAACATACATCCATCCATATAAATAAACATTCGCATTTATAATATCAGTAAGATTTGCGTGTATATGCTGTGACTGCATTAATAGATTCATTTTTAGGGTTCCGTACCACATAGGAAAGAAACGGAATCCTTATAGCATCACTGTTGTCCGTGCGTCTGTCTGTCAAGACCCTTTTTCTCAAAAACGCGTAAAGGTATCAAGCTGGAATTTATTTCTTTCTACGTTTTATAAAGCCGTTAAAGTTGTGTAACGAATATCCCTAAGTGTAGGTTTATTGTTATCTCTCTGAGTTAAAATTTATAAGATTTATTCCCTTAAAGGACGTAATCAAATTACCTCAGTTATCACTTGTTTATCATAACGATTACGTCGTTTATATACTAATGTTTATATAAACATTCATTCACTGTTAATACAACATTGTTGTTGACAGGCCTTAATGCGCGTCATTAACTCACCGTGTAGTCTAAGAGCCAATCTTGAAATACTCTTGTAGATTATAATGAAAAAGAATAAATCTAGCTGTTAAATAATTGCAGCCGACTTTGTAACCTATCCATATTTCTTAAATATTTTCACTTTGTAATCTGTGACACCTAGATATCTTATGACCCTTATATTGAACTAAAACTCGGCTGTTTACTTTATTATATTAATATATTTTCTTTAATTATTAGCATAATTAATCTTATTATACTAATGTTATAAATGCGAATGTTTGAATGGATGTATGTTTGAAGGTATTTCGAGAACGGTTGAAATTAGTCATAAATGTAGAATATAGTCTGGAAGAACACATAAGATACTAATTACGTTTTTTTTATTTACGCGCACGGAATCGCGTGCGACAGCTAGTGTATTTATACATTTATAAGCTAATTGAAAAAAAAAATTAAACAGTACGAACTTTTTTTTGATTACTAGCTCTTGTACTACTTTCCATATAAGGAGTTATAGAAGATTCACTTATAGTATGCCGTTAGCATACACGGTAAATCCTCGATACGTGAACTGATTATGTGACATTGATAAATACTTATGTAATACATTGCCAAATTAGTGTGTAAATAACATGTTGACCTTGACTCAGTAACGAATAGCTAATGACGATCTTTATAGTTATTTGTCTTGTAGTAATTATGAGAGTTTTACTCGTAAGTCACTTTCTTTGTAAGAAAAAAAAGAGACCTCAATATTTTATTATCAAGATCGTTCTGAAGATTAATCTAATGATGTTGCTTAGTAATACCTTAGTACCTTTTTAAAATATTATTCCGTTAAAAATACAAATGTTTAGATGGATGGATGTTTATTAGAAGGTATCTCCAGAACGGCTCGAAGGATCATGATTTAGCACATAAGTAGGACAGTCTAAGAAGTCGCGGACGAGAACGAAAGCGTGCCCGTGGCCCCGTCCCGATGCGTTGGAGGAACAGAGAGGTTTAGGATGCCTCCGCTATGGAGGAGAATCCCACATAACTACCGCGTCTCAGGGGGGCGTGGAGTATGCATAAAGCATGGACAAAAAAGAACAGTCTAAGAACACATAGGTTACTTATTATTTTTAAAATTCCAAGGAAACGGAGTCGCAGACAACTATTAGTGTTATAGTTTTTGTGGGAAAATGTATGTGTATTTTACTCCATCCTTTATTCAGCATCCTTGTTTTGATATTGTAATATCAACACATTTGTGTCGTGAGAAAGTTTATGATATCTCGTGTTTTTATACATTTTTTTTTATTGTAATAACGTAATATGTTAAGGTTAAAAACGTTATAAAATAATAGCTGTCCCCACACCGTTTATGCGGAAATAAAAACTTAAGTAGTCTATGTGTTCTTCCAGACTATGTTCTATATGTATGACAAATATCGAGATATATACAGTCGTTCTGAAGGTATCTACTAACAAACATACATCTAAACATTCGCATTTATAATATTAGTAAGATTGTAAGAGTAAGAAATAGGATTTTTAAATAGTTTCAAAAGCTATTTAGTTTATAAAAAATAAATTATGAAGAAATTTTTTTCTTTATAATATTAGTCTTTTTTTCTACATAGAAATTTGATATAATTTTAAACTATTCATACATTAATTTTGTTCGTATTATTGACAAAAATTTAATTGTTTTTATCTCGAGCTTAAAACAAAGAAACAAACGATGTTAACACTAATGACACGAATTTTACGTTTAATGTGCAGTAGATAAACTGTTTGTGCGTATGTATAATACTATTCAAACTTTACGGCCGCTCGTAATGTAAGACACTTTGAACAACATAAAAGTATCAAACTACAAAACTCTAGTAACGGTCGAAATTTATCATCAATATTATTATATTATTGTTCGAAAATTATTTTAATTTGTATTAAACGAAGAAAATTATTCCGTCGCCCTCTAAATAAATGCTATCGTTGGCTTTAGGTTGGTTAATTTTAAACCACATAGTTTGATAATGTAAATTAAAAAAACCGCGATAAGCAGCTTGATAAGCGTATAATTGTTTCAGTCAGTACAATATGTGCTCTTTATATTTCTGTAGTCTTCATATCTAAATTCACTCCCATCTTATAAATGCATGCATCCCATACGTTTGAATATTATTATACATCTATTGACCAAAATATGAGCAAGTGGTGATAGATATATCAGATGCTGTTGTGTGCTCGTGCGCACTGGACGTTTCTCAAGTGTGGATTTGTGCGTGTTGTTTTTATACGACTTAGTTTGTGAATAAGGTAATTTTTTTTTGTTAATTTTGTTTTTCAAAGGTTTTAATTATTATATTTTAGTCATTATTAAATAGATAAAAAAAGTTTTTTTTTATAGACGTTTTGTTATCAAAGTATAACGTTTAATTGAACTATTAATTAACTTTTTTTATTATAAATATACGATAATAAAGTTTTTTTTTGTAATTTTGGAATAAAAAGCTCACATACGATAAACATTGAACTATAGATAACGAGAGGTTTATAATGATTGTATAAAATAATAAAAGATAAAATAAACAAAGCTGACATTTCTTTGTATAAAAAATGAACGATATGAATGTAACTATTAACAATAAAAAAAACTAAATGCGCAGTTTTAGTGTTTGTGCTATAAATTCTATAATTCTATAATATCATTGGGGTTGACTAGATCGAGTCGAATTCAATGGAAATGACAAATTTTATTTACACATTTACCGTCGCCCGAAACTCCGTGCTCGGGATTAAAATTAGTCTATGTGTTCTTCCAGACAATGTTCTACATCTATGTCAAATTTCAACAAGCCATGTGAACGTTATGGAGATACCTAACAAACATCCAACTATCCGTACATTGGAATTTATAATATTAGTAAGTAGATTTCGATGGTTTATATATTTATTTTATTTTATAAAGTTTAAATAGATGTTATAAACATATCTGTATTTATTAAGTCTTGATTACAGTCTTATAAAGGTAAAACTGTTAAACG